AACCTAGAAGCAATGGCCTCCAACCTAGAAGCAATGGCCTCCAACCTGGAAGCAATGGCCTCCACTCCAACCTAGAAGCAATGGCCTCCAACCTGCAAGCAATGGCCTCCAACCTAGAAGCAATGAATGGCCTGAAACCTACTGTAGAAGCACCTAGAAGCGATGGCCTCCAACCTGGGAGCAATGGTCTCCAACCTAGAAGCAACGACCTCCAACCTGGAAGCAATGGGCTCCAACCTAGAAGCAATGGCTCCAACCTAGAAGCAACGGCCTCCAACCTAGAAGTAATGGCCTCCAACCTAGAAGCAATGGCCTCCAACCTAGAAGCAATGGCCTCCAACCTAGAAGCAGTGGCCTCCAACCTGGAAGCAATGGCCTCCAACCTGGAAGCAATGGCCTCCAACCTAGAAGCAATGAATGGCCTCCAACCTAGAAGCAATGAATGGCCTCCAACCTAGAAGCAATGAATGGCCTCCGACCTAGAAGCAATGGCCTCCAACCTAGAAGCAATGGCCTCCCACCTAGAAGCGATGGCCTCCAACCTAGAAGCGATGGCCTCCAGCCTAGAAGCGATGGCCTCCAACCTACTAGCGATTGCCTCCAACTTAGTAGCGATTGCCTCTAACCTAAGAGCCCTTCTAAGGGCCTGGTAACCATGTTCGTTGTGCCAATGTTGATCTTCATACTATCCCTCGGCCTGCAGCACCAATTTGATTTCTATTTAATTATTCCAATGCTCATCCCCAATGCTATGTTGTTCGTTTGGTTTCATGCTTGAAAGAGTGTTTGTATTTGCGTTTGATTAACAACTTTTCACCTTTTCTGTCAAAATCTCCCCAACACCCGCTTGATGGGCGGGCTTTGTGAAGGCATTCGGATCAGTTGTGTATTGGAAGTCTAACCAGGATTCCAACAGAGGATGTCTGGATTCTGTTTTTCAGGTTGATCAAGGTGCTCTGACAAGAGCTCCGGCGTTCAAGTTCCTTGTCCTGAGGTGAATGCCTTGGAATCCGAAGGACTCTTAGACGCTGCAGACAGCCCAGAGATTCATTCACAAATACGATGTATGGTCCTGCAAAGTCCTCCCTCCACCCCCATGTTTGTTCAAGGGTTCAGTCATTTTTAAACAATAAAGCCTTAGTTCTCGGCCCAAAAGCTTTTTGCATGGTTCATCAAGCATGCTTTGCATGTGTGATCAAGCATCTATTGTGCATCAACCTCTTTTTCGTTTCTTTCACTGTCAGGATTCTTTCAATCCGAGGTAGCGACAAGCGCGCAGGCCAACTTTGCCAAGGCCACCGCTCAAGTCTGAGTGCTCCACGCGTTGAGTTCAAAGTAGCATCCTTGTTCCTAGTAGGCAGGAACCCCTAGTAGCATCCTTGCTCCTAGTAGCGATGCCAGG